ATTTTTAAAAAAATATTTACATAGAAATATTTTAGAAATATCAAAATAAAATTATAATTATAATTAAAGAGTTAAATAAGATATTATCCATTAATTTAGTATGTCTGGTCATATTCTAAACAATCATACCCATTAACGTAATATAATATTATTTTTATAATAAAAATTAATAATTATTTTATAATTTTTAAAAATTTAATATGAAAATAAATTATTCTAAAATAGTGTAGCGATGGGCTGTGAAACTGAACCTTTTAATATTAATCCCTAGGTACTGCAGAGTAAAAATCCAAATTTGGGCTGGACTATTCTCAATGAGCTGAAGGAACAAATACTTTCCCAAATAGTATTAAAAGCTCATTTGGATGAGCCTTTCTTCAGTGGAAGTCTCCAAATCTCCTCTTCAAATCCCTCATCGTTCTACCCCAATCTTATTTAAAGATTATCCGTCAGTTTAGTTCAGGGTCAGTTAATTTTTAATTTCGACTTGAACTTAAAACCATAAATTGATGCTCAAAATAAAAAAATCGTAAACTTAACTCGATAGAAACTTAAACTCAAATTTGAACCTTAAATAGATGAAAATTTTATATTGCATTTTTCTTAAAAGAATCAACAATATTGTTAATAATTTAATTTTTAAAAATAAATTTTTAATATATATATATATATTTTAAGTTTCCCTCTAGCTTTTTGAGTTGAGTATCAAATAGATTGTTTCGGTTCGTTAAGAATTCGAGTCAAGCTCGATTCGAGTCCATTGAAATCGAGTATTTATCGAACTTTGATCGAATCGATCTCGAGTCTGGCAATCTATCTCGTCTTATTTACTGCCCTAATTGTAATCATTCTTTATATAGCAAATGACATCGTTACTGGTTCGAATTACTTGTTGCTTTATATGAATTTGGCAACGGGTTCTTCATACAACGTTTTCCCCCGCTCTTGGTGCATGTTCAGTTAACAGTGAATAGAGTGAGATACGCGGTATGATTTTTTTGGTTAGTAAAACAACATTGGAATGAATATTAAAGTATGATTATGGATTACACATTAAAAAATTCCAGTCACCTTGACAGATACTGAAACAAAAATTGTTGTTGCACATCCAAGGACAATAAGAACCGAAGTGCCTGCAAATCCTTGGAATGCAATCGAGTGTGTGGTTTGCTCAATCACGCAAATTGCCGCTTCAGTTGTTCACAAACATCGTCAGGGTCCAACTGTATGGAAGTGTAGTAATAATTGCAAAAGGCGATGATGAGCAAAGAAGACGAATTGGGGCTTAATCAATCCATTGTTGTTTTTGTACAATCACCACAGAATTGTTGCCACCAAAATCAGCAGATGAAAGTAGGTCCCGGATAATTCCAATCTCTTGAAATTCTGTCCATTCATGGAGACCAATGGTCTGGGGATCTCCACGTTTGTATCGTCTCCCAACAATGAAAGCTGGAATTGTCCACAATGGATAAAAGAAATTTTAAAGTTTCAGGTCCATTACTTACCTGCTTCTCAATGTGTGTTATGTTTGAACAATTCTCTTTAACATTTCTCGGCATTATCTCATCCTGCATATTCTCGGTATCATCGGCTAAATCATATTTCCAGATGTGAGATGAACTATAGTTAGTTGGAAAATTTTGTTTTCGGACATGCGTAGACCTAAAGCAAGAGCCTCCTGATCATCTTTACCCCCCCAAAATTCACAGCAATGTTATATGATGAAGAGCTGTCTAACGACGATTGTGAGTTGGAGTGGTTTAAATGACGCCGACCTTCGACAAGGATCCCTTTCGAGCAAGGAGCCCTTTCAAGCATATTGTAGTTCAGGCTCCTTATGTTTCGATCTTCCTATTCGATGCTACCATCAAAGTGCCATCGGCGGTGAAATGGAAGCATTATAAAAGATGTGTGGTGGTCCAGGGCAAGGTTACATGTATCCTCGTACATCATATTCTTTGGCGACACAGCAGTGAACGCTTTCACTGATACGGCACCCCAGTAATCCCGCTCGAACCGTTTAAACAAGAGTACAACATTCTCTGAGTAGGAGTTGCTGCAAAGGGTGTTCTGATTCATGTCATGAGAAATGAAAAGTGGAGTGGCTCGCCCACTGAGCTTTATAAGGTGAAGCACATGAAGAGCAATGGGACTTTCTGTGGTCGAGGTACTAAGGATGTCAAAGATGGAATTAACATTAGCCGGAACTCGAATACAATTAATCATTCGAAGCTCCTCGTGGTGCTTGCAATGCATGATGCTCCTTTTCTGGTAACTTGCATACTTTCTCGATGGATCGTAGAGGGCTTTCACAAGCATCGGCACAAAGCTTGCTAGCACAATGATGATGAGAGTCATGTAAGCGAAGATAGGCGCTGTTATAACCTGCGATTTTTCGACAATAAGTATGCATATTGCATGGATGTGAAATTTACGCAATGAGTTGAAAAAACATACCCTGCGATCATACATGTTGCTAAAGATTGCCATCTCAACGATACCTTTGCTTATCATTATAAAAGCAAACGCCAAAGAATCCCTTGTGGGGATTTTAAGAAGAAGGAAAGAAGGAGATTCCAAATTTGACAATTAAGCCACAATAGCGGTAAGGGCTTGGTGTTTGGCAAAGAGACTGTGGGTATTGAGGTAAGTAAAATCAATCCTCATGCCGCATGTTGAAGCAAACAAAGGCATAAGAAACTTTGAAACAACAGGGTCCAGTTTCTCAACCAGAGCAGATCCCAAAGGGGGTCCATCTTGATAGCCAATCCCGCCAGAAATGGACCAAAGGGAGTCAATATTCTAAAAACAGTGGTACCTTATGTGAAACCATGAACGCCAAAATTGCAGCATAAAGGCAAACACCATTTATCTTCCCACCCCCAACCGTTTTTCTTACCATCCATTTCATTAGAGGTCGAAAACAAAACACCAGTACAACAAGAAAGATTGTAGCACTTCTGAAATGTTCAAAAGTCCTGCTCCAACCTTTCTTTTGTCCTGCAATCACCCCTTGGCAAATAGTCGATAGAAACAGTGACAACATGTTACCTATGAGGGCCGATGATAGGCTAAGCCTACCGAGTTCCAAATTCAGGAGCTTCAGCCCACTGAGGGCTATATTACCGGAAACGAAGTCGTCGAATATGCTACGGCAAGAACGTAAACATCGCTTGGTCTGTAACGTTGTTTATCTTCTGGAGCGGATTGAGCCATAAACAAGCAAATTATGGAAGGCACCAACACTGTAAGGTTACCAATACACAGCGCCTTATTTCCGGATCTGAATGTCATGCTAAAATCCATCTTCAACCCAGTTAGAAATAAAAAGAACCGATAGCCAAAATTCGCCACCGTACCCAAAATTGAAACATTCTCCTCAGGCATCGTAATAAGCGTATCTTCATGTTTGAAAACCATAGGACCCAATGTTATCCCTGCTTGCATTTACACCCAAAAAAACGTTAGGAATGAATATTAAAATGAAAAAAAAAAGTAGGACAGAGTATGCAGGCACATACAAGAATTTGGGATATGAATATAGGCATTCGGAGGCGATTGAGCACAAAATGAATGGCTTGAGTGAGAACGAAAGTGACTGTCATCTGGAGTTCAAGCCTTGGCGCAAAATAGTCCATGATGTTTCCAGGTTTCACATTAAAGAGCAATGTCATCAAGCCAGGTGCGTTGGCTTTGGGAGGATAACTAAGACAAATTTCTTCCTCCACTGTTTCCATCGTGTCCCGGGACTGCCTTCAAAGCTATTGAATGCGGTGGAAAGAAAAGAACTAGACAGAGAGGAGATTGAATTGAATGAAATGGACGATTCTGTTTTGTTTGTGTTGATATTATCGTTGTACTTTGATCAAGTGACCGTCTTATTTTATCATAATTCTTGTTACGTTTTTATTAATTTCTTATTCTTCTCATTTTCTATTTTTTTAATTAATTACTGGTATCAGATTTTTTAATCGATTAATTTAGATCGGATATTGCAAAAGCAATGATGACCCTCTTAACCAAATTTGTTTCATTCACAAACGTCAGTACTGAAACCATTGGCCTTGTTTAAAGGAATCTAGTGTTTCATCCTACTAAACCAATCGGTTGTTAGTTCATTTCCTAACTTTTCATTTGAGTTTTTGTATTGTTTTATTTAACAATATTTTAAAAGAAATACTCAATAATTTTTTTCTTATGTTATGATTTTTTTAATATTAGATTTGACGTTATTTTTTCGGTTAGTGTTTTTTTTGTTATTATGTTTATATATCCCTAGTTGGAACTCTCATTCAATTCTTACATATTCACAATTTCAAATATGTCGCAATTTAAAAAATGTCACACATAAATTGTAAAGATGTTGTCATTATTATATTTATTTTTATATTAATATTGTTGATATTTATCTATCATTGCTTACAATAATGTTGATGTATTAATCATTAAACCTTGTTATAGATTAGAGGAGAGTAAAAATATAAGTAATTAGATATATAAAGGGTTAATTAACATTTTATGATTTTTAAAAGATGTTTTATAATTTAAATTTTTTTACAATTTTAAAAGTATATTATAAATTTTTGTAGATTTTTAGAAATATATGTGAAGTATTAACATAAAATTTTAGTTATAATTGAAAGATTAAATGAGATATTACTCATTAATTTAATATATCACTTCATTTATTTTAAATAATCGATAATATAATATAATATCAATATTATAATAAAATTTCATATTTGTTTATAATTTTTAAAAATTTAATATCAAAATAAATTATTTTAAAATAGTGTAGTGATAAGTTGTGAAATTCAACCTTTTAATATTTATCCCCAAGTACTGCAGAACAGCAGAAGTGCAGAGTAGAATCCAAATTGGGGTGGACTGTTCCCAAATGGGCTACGTAGAGCAGTAGTTCAAATACAGTAGTAAAGTTTCCCAAATATTAACACATTTGAGTAAATATGTAGAAGGCTAAGGTTCACAAATTATTAAAACGGATAAAGAAGAAGACGGGGAAATAAAGAAGACTCGGCGATGTCTGCATCTCTGCAACCACAGCCTTTCTTCAGTGGAAGTCTCCAATTCTCCTCTTCTAATCTTCAATTTCGTCATCGCTCTGCCCCAATCTTCAGGTCAATTTCCCTCTACATTTTCTCTATTACCACGTGCTCCGTTTTTTGTTGCATTTTTTTCAGAATTAAGTCAATCATCCTTTAGTAATTCTACTCTCGTGTTACTGAGATAAAGTTGACAATTCATGGCGAATGCTTTTGTATTTTGATTATTATAAAACCGTTGAGTTGTTGATAGATGAAAGTGAAACTGCGGAACAGGTTTATTCTAAAAGTTGTTGCTAGTTGACTATGCTCTTGGACCTCTTGACTTAGCTTGAGAAATTAATAGTTCCTTTGCTGATGAAAACTTTATTTTTCACCATTTGCTGAAATAGTCAAAATGTGTAAGTTAACTGGTTTGTCTCCAATAAACGCCACAGGCTATGATACCATGTTGAACATATACCTTGGGCTTCATATAGGTGTTCTAAGATTTCTCACTTGAATGCTTTAATTTAACGTATTAAACCTTTAGTCTATGAGAATTTATTTACTGAAAATCAGTATTGCGGATTGCCCAGTTATCCAAGTTATGTGATAACTCCTGCTGGTTTGGGCCGATGTTGGACTTTTTGGTCTGTCACTAATGTTGATTCAAAGGTCTAGAACCTAGGAATTGTTGCTCCCAATTGTATCTTTTGGCCATTTTAGTTCTACAATTTCTATCTATTTTCAGGTGGAGATTTGGAAGAGACCAAGATTCAAGTCTAGTTACCAGTAGAACCAATGGTCAAGCATTTCGAATCTTGGCCAATCCTAATGTATTCTTCAACCAAGGCTTCTTCATGTATAAAGCCAGTATATTTGGTTTTTGAATATGGTCAAAGATTTGTAGTTGTAGGTATGTTATTATTGATTTGGTGATTAAGTGCTTCATGATAGTAAAGTTCTCCATGTATAGATGAATATTGGTTGATCTAGAGGTAAAATCTGCACCTGTCTTCATCATGTTGCACAAAATAAAGGTGACCTTGTCATTGTGTTATGACTTCATTTTTATGCAGACAGAAATGGTATATATTTTTTATTATGCTTCATGAAAAACATCCATGGCCAAATGATCTTGTTGTCTGCCACTGGCTGCATGGATTGTCTCTTTGAATCACTCATGGCTGTAAACAATAAATCAAGAAGTGATTGGTATCGAATTCTTAAAGAAAGATATACATTGAGGCATGGTCAGATTGTGCTGTCAATAGCTTAATGAGTATGCAATGTCTGACACGTGACATTTGAGCGATTCGAAATATCTAGTTTATTTAAAGATTATTGTTGGGAAATAAACCGAGTACAATTAATTTTCCTATAACCAGATTAGTGAGAATGCGAAATAAAAGTTGAAAAATAATACCTGGAATTGATAACGGAGTTCAGCCAATTTTGCTTACGTCTCCGGACTGCTGCAGATCTTTTACTAAGAGATAAAATTTACAGGTGTTTACAAAACACTCACTGCTCACAAAAAAGCTCTCTAGTATTGGGAGAAAAATGATTTTTGGGATGGTTTTGAAGCTAAATGAGCTAGGGTATTTATAGTTGAAACTTAGGGACTAATCTTTGAAAATACCCTACAGTGCAATGACTAAAGTGAATTTACCCATTCCTATTTTCAACAAACACCTACCAAACTTTACCAAACTTTGAAAAACATTTTTCAAAAAAACATTTACCAAACTTTGAAAACCATTTTCAAAGAAACATTTACCCAACTTTGAAAACCATTTTCAAAGTTGGTTGCCAACCTTTGGACTTTTAACAATCTCCTACTTGAAGACTGATTTTAATCTGTCTTCACACCTCGATCGATGCAGTAACATTTCTAGTCTTGTTATTCTTGCATGCCAACTGAAGCTGAACACAACTTCAGTTTGTTCGTGGTCACCGTCTTTGTCAACATGTCTGCCGGATTTTGAGCTCCACTGATCTTTTCAAGTTTCAAAATCTCATATTCCAGAAGAGACCGGATAAAATGATATCGCAATTGTATGTGCTTTGTCCTGGAATGAAAAGACGGATTCTTTGCTAGATGGATAGCACTTTGAATATCGCAATACAAGACATTGTTTTCTTGTTTCTTGCCTAACTCTTCCAAGAAACTTTGGAGCCAACCCATCTCCTTGCTAGCTTCTGTAACAGCGACATATTCTGCTTCAGTTGTGGAGAGAGCGACTATCTTCTGTAGTTGAGAAACCCAACTCACTGCAGTTCCTCCTAGAGTATAGACATACCCTGTAGTGCTCATTCTGATGTCAATATTTCTGGCTAAGTCAGCATCTACATAGCCTGTCAATATCGTATCTCTACCTTTGAAGCAAAGTGTTTTGTTTGTGGTACCTCGCAGATATCTGAGGATCCATTTGACTGCTTCCCAGTGTACCTTGCCCGGATTATTCATGTACCTGCTAACAGCTCCCACTGCATGAGCAATATCGGGTCTGGTATATACCATGGCATACATCAGACTTCCAATTGCAGAGGCATACGACACTTTTACCATGTGTGCACGTTCTTCCTTCGTCTTTGGTGATTGTTCTTTGGAGAGTCTAAAATGAACACCTAAAGGTGTACTTACTGGTTTAGCATCTTGCATGTTGAACCTGGAGAGTACTTTGTTGATGTACTCAGCCTGTGATAACATCAAAGTCCCCGACTTTGTGTCTCTCTTGATCCTCATCCCAAGAATCTGCTTTGCAGCACCCAGATCCTTCATAGCAAACTGCTTCGACAATTTTTGCTTCAAGTGTATAATCTCTTGCATGTTTGAGCCTGCAACGAGCATGTCATCAACGTACAACAATAAAATAATGAAGTTATTGTCGAACCTCTTGATGTAGCAACAATGATCTGCTTGGCATCTGGTAAAACCATTGCTACCCATGAAGCTATCGAACTTCTTGTACCACTGTCTAGGAGCTTGTTTTAAACCATACAAGCTATTCTTCAACCTGCATACCAGGTTTTTCTTGCCTGCCTCTATGAAGCCTTCTGGCTGCCTCATATAGATTTCTTCCTCCAAATCACCATGAAGGAAATCTGTCTTCACATCTAACTGCTCAAGATGTAAATTCTCTGCAGCTATAATTTTTAACACCAATCTAATTGTAGATAGCTTCACGACTGGAGAGAAAATTTCATTGTAGTCAATACCTTCTTTTTGCTGAAAGCCTTTGACAACCAATCTTGCTTTGTAGCGTTTGCTCCCATCATGCTCTTCTTTGATCCTGTAAATCCACTTGTTATGGAGTGCTTTTTTGCCTGGTGGTAATTCAGCTAATTCCCACGTCTGATTTGACTTAAGTGAGTCCATCTCATCTTTCATGGAAGACTCCCACTTGACTGAATCCTCCACTTGCATTGCTTCATCATAGCACTCTGGTTCACCATTGTCAATCAACAACAAGTAGTGCAAAGAATGAGAATAACGTTGGGTTGGTTTAGGAATTCTGGAGAAACGTCTCAGTTCTGGTGTGACTGGTTCTTCTTGAACTGTTTCAGGAGCGATCTGAACATCATTTCCAGAAATATCCTCAAACTCAACAAATTTCTTTGTTTCAGCTTCGGTGTTGGAGCTACTTGATTCCATGGTTGACCTATCTTTGTACATCACATTCTCATTGAAAATGGCATCTCTGTTTCTGATGATCTTCTGATTTTCATAGTCCCAAAATCGGTAACCAAACTCATCACCACCATAACCAACAAAGACACATTTGTTGGACTTGGCATAAAGTTTACTTCTTTCAGCAGAGTTTATGTGTACATAAGAAATACAACCAAACACTCTTAAGTGTGAAAGGTTTATTTCTTTCTTGCTCCAAACTTCCTCTGGTATTCTACCATCCAAAGGAACCGAGGGCCCACGGTTGATCAAGTAAGTTGCAGTGTTGATAGCTTAAGCCCATAGAAATTTGGGCAATCCGGCATGTATCCTCATGCTTCTGGCACGTTCATTCATAGTTCTGTTCATGCGCTCTGCTACGCCATTCTGCTACGGTGTCATGGGAACTATTGTCTCCATCTTGATCCCATTGTTTGCGTAGAAATCTCTGAATCTACGATTTCTGTATTCTCCTCCATTGTCAGACCTTAACCGTTTGACTTTTAGACCAGTCTCATTTTCCACCATGGCCTTCCATTTTCTGAAGGTATCAAAGACTTCTGATTTCTTCTTCAGAAAATAAACCCACAACTTCCTTGTAGAATCATCGATGAAGGTGACATAATTATAATGAGCCTGCAAGAGATGGAACTGGAGATGGTCCCCATACATCAGTATGAACCAACTCTAACTTTTCAGCCTTGGGTGTCTTACCAATCTTTGCAAAGTTGACTTTCTTTTGTTTGCCAAAGATGCAATCCTCGCATAGTCTGACATCTATATTCTTTAGATCCGGCAACTTCCCATTTGACAAAAGTGTCTTCATCCCTTTCTCGCTCATATGGCCAAGTCTTTGGTGCCATAGGTTTGATTTTCCATCAGCATCTGCTACTGCAATGATATTCTCTAAATTTGAGGTTATATAGAGAGTACCAGTTTTCTTACCATGAGCAATGATGAGTGCTCCTTTGGTAATCTTCCATTCACAACCTGAAAAGCTTGTATTATATCCTTCTCCATCAAGCTGTCCTACAGAAATCAAATTCCTTTTGAGGCCAGGAATATGTCTCACTCCTGTCAGCTTCCAGGTGGTCTGGTTTGGCAACTTTAATCGGATGTTTCCTTTTCCGAAGATCTTCAAGGTTTCATCATCGGCTAGATGAACCTTCCCAAAATCACCACTGACATAGTTCTCCATGATTTCTCGGCATGGGGTGGAGTGGAAAGATGCCCCTGAATCCAAGATCCATGATTCAATCGGAGTGTTGACGCTTAGAATCATGGCATCACTCCTCTGTCATGTTGGCAGATTCCTGTGCACCGGTATCTTTCTTCAGTGCTCGACAATCTCTTTTAAAGTGACCCTTCTTGCCACAATTATAACAGGTAAAATCTTTCTTTCATGTTCTTGATTTGCCCCTTCTGGATTTTGATCTGCCACGATTTGAATTTCTTTATGAAGTTCTCCCTCTAGACTCCGTGTGTAAGGCTGAGGAGGTTGATGCTTCACCCGATTCTCTCCGTCGAATTTCTTCGCTCAGTACCAGATCTTGAACATCATCAAATTTCAATTTACTATATCCCGACGAGCTGCTAACTGCTGTAACAGTAGCATTCCAACTGTCTGGTAGAGATGATAAGAGAATTAAAGCTCGAACTTCATCATCGAATTCAATTTCTACTGAACTCAATTGGTTTGTGATTGTGTTGAGTTCATTTAGGTGTTGTGTCATCGATGCCCCTTCCATCATCCGCATAATCGCCCCATCAAGTGCACTTTGTTTGAGGCTGATGGCTTCTCATACATACTGGAGAGAGCCGCCATAAGACCCGCAGTGTTCTTTTCCTTTGCTATGTTGAAAGCAACATTGCGGGATAACGTCAGTCGGATAACTCCGAGGGCTTATCTGTCGAGAAAAGCTCAGTCTTCATTCTTCATGCCCTCTGGTTGCTTTCCTGAGAGAGGTTGATATAGATTTTTCTGGTACAAAAAATCTTCGATCTGCATCTTCCAAAAGCCAAAGTCCGCACCATCGAACTTTTCAATTTTCACATTCCCTTCGTCTGCAGCCATCGCTCCCACTCGAATCTGATTTCGTTTGGATCGTTTCTGACAATTCTTGCGAACCACCGTGTATTATAACACCTCCGTCAACAAGCTCGTATCGCCGACAAAATTTTTACTATTCATGAAATTTACTATTCACATGAATAGTAACATCGCAAAAAATTGACAAAATTCACAACCAAAAGCTCTGAGCCAGTTGTTGGGAAATAAACCGAGTACAAGTAATTTCCCTATAACCATATTAGTGAGAATGCGAAATAAAAGCGGAAAAATAATACCCGAAATTGATAACGGAGTTAAGCCAATTTTGCTTACGTCTCCGGACTGCTGCAGATCTTTTACTAAGAGAGAAAATTTACAGGTGTTTACAAAACACTCACTACTCACAAAAAAGTTCTCTAGTATTGGGAGAAAGAAATGATATTTGGGATGGTTTTGAAGCTAAATGAGTTAGGGTATTTATAGTTAAAACTTATGGACTAATCTTTGAAAAAACCCTACAGTGCAATGACTAAAGTGAATTTACCCATTCCTATTTTCAAAAACATCTACCAAACTTTGAAAAACATTTTTCAAATAAATATTTACCAAACTTTGAAAACCATTTTCAAAGAAGCATTTACTAAAGTGAGAATGGTATATATTTTTTATTATGCTTCATGAAAAACATCCATGGCCAAATGATCTTGTTGTCTGTCACTGGCTGTATGGATTGTCTCTTTGAATCACTCATGGCTGTAAACAATAAATCAAGAAGTGATTGGTATCGAATAAAAATTCTTAAAGAAAGATATACATTGAGGCATGGTCAGATTGTGCTGTCAATAGCTTAATGAGAATGCAATGTCTGACACGTGACATTTGAGCGATTCGAAATATCTAGTTTATTTAAAGATTATCTGCCAGTTTAGTTCAGGATCAGCTAATTTAAAACTATGCCTTGTTACTTGATTTTGTTCACTTTGTATTTTATTGGCTGGAGATTCTTTATTGTATTAAAATCACTTGGAGTTGCAACCTTAACCATACTCCTTTTCTTTTGTCAATTGCTGCCATGTTATTCAATGAGCTTGCAGTTTGGAGAGACTAAATACTTATTCTTCATCAGCTCTTTTTGCTAATGCCACATATACTGCTTTTACTGCTAGTAAATTTTAGTTTTTATATCAAATTGTAGTTGAACATGGGGTCTTTTTCTTTTCCATTTTGTATCAAATAGTTCTTCAAGTAAAGGAGATCCAGGTAATGAAGTCTCATGGTTGACCCTTTGGAAGCAAAACGGTTAGCCGCCAAGCAAATGGAACAAATTAAGGCTAAAGAGAAAATAAAGGTAAAAAGGGTTTTATTTTAATGAAAATCTAGCTTATTTTTTATTGTATATCATATGGTGCCACTAAGAAACCGGGGCGTGCAATTGCCTGTTGAATTTCTAATAGAAGCTTTTAAATTGAACAAAATTTTCTAGAACCTCTGTTATCCTTTCATTTTCCCACTTGCACATGTGGTTCTTCCGAAGTCAACTCTTTCCAAGTGTGGTATTCTATCCAAGTTACTACTTAGGCCCCTTCTGTTTTTTCTTGTTCTTCTCATTGGTTTGCTCGAGGTGTGCCAGCAAGGCGGCACGTATTTTGTTTTTACAAGTCTTTTATGGTAAGAGTAGATGGCGTAGTCATAGGGCATGATTTTTGCATCAAATGTTTTTTTAAAGGTGTTTCCTTGAACATTCTTGTTAATCGAGGCGATTAATGGGGCGTGGGCAATGATTGGTCTCACAGCAGGCTAGTTATTGAAGGACAAACAGGAAAAAGTATTCTCGAGCAGGTAAAATGAAGGAAATGGAATAACCCCTTTCAGTTGGCTGCATTGCTAATCGTTGCTCATTGATGGTTCATTTTTTTAACTCAGTTGGCGGGGTATGTGTCCGCGATCATCCACATTTTGTGCGATAGGCTTGGACAATTTGGGCAAAGCAAAGGTCATTCTTGAAAACTATTTTTCATATCAACAGTTCTTTCATCATATTATATTGACTTCATAAGTTTTTATTTGTATGTCCTCCTGCTTTTCACGAACCTGTCAACAAACTGTAATCATTCTTTATATAGCAAATGACATCATTACTGGTTCGAAACTGTCACTTTATATGAATTTGGCAACAGGTTCTTCCGGGACGGAGCTATGTGGCCCCCTAATTTTTTATCATTAAAACGATATAGGAATAAAATATCTATTTAGAACTTCAAATTTTGGTTTTATTTTGATTTTACCCCTCCCATTTCTATTGGTAGTTATACCTTGTCTCCCTTGACTCTGTCCCTGTGTCCTTCATACGAGGTTTTCCCTGGCTCTTACTGCATGTTCGGTTATGGGTGACTAGTGAGTGAGATACTCGGTGTGATTTATTTCGTTAGTAAAACAACATTATGAAGTATGATTATGCATTACGCTTGTGTTGTCTCCAATACTTTCTAGTTGTATTGGTAAGCACATTAAAAGATTCCAGTCACCTTGATAGATAGGTGTATGTTCTAACAGGCATCAATGTTGAACCTGTCAGGAAAAAAACTATTGCTTCCAGAACTAATAATCATTTCTGGAACTCTGTCTCCCTCCACTCCTCAACTTGCTGCTAACTCCTCGGCCTGAAGAAGATTATCCTTTTTTGTACTCTCGAATGTAGGTGCTAACAAGGCTATAAAACTTTCCCAAACCATTTAAACCGGACGAGACGTCTGGATTGATACACAAGGGATCAAAAAGATCCTCAGATCCTTCTTGCTGACAAGGAATTCCAATGAAAATAGCAAAGCAACCAGACTTAATAAAAGCATGGAGTTTATATATAGTGTCAACGACCTCAGAACAAAGCTCTCAGGTTCTTTGCATAATTCTAATTTCTCATACATGAGTTAAAAAAATGATTTTCGGACATGACAAAACAATAGGGCGTCTCAAAAGTTACCTGTAAGAAAGAAGACCAAGATTCCATGAGGGAGTTGGAGTTGGGTTTTCGGTGGACAGTTAAACTGGCTCTGTAAACATGGTTTCCGAGTGTTGGAGAGGTTGAAGGAAAGAGGCCAGGAAGATGCTCTGATCGTATCAACATTATCCTAATTTGGGTTAGCAGTTTTTTTGGGTCTAAATCTTATAACAGTAATAGCAAGTGAAATTCAATGGATTTCACCACTTTCTTACTCTGCACACATCAGGAGTTCCAATCATTTTTGCAGCGTTGGCCCAAACTAAGCCCACAAGCATCCCTAAGTGGTTTTGGGATGCACAAAATATTTTCCCCCAACTTTGCCCTAAATAAGTTTATGCATTTGGAGATTATTTACGTAGATTTAATATTTTTTTTAAATTATGGGATGATTGTAAGGTATAAATATTCAGAATCTTTATCAATTATGGATAACGTACATATATCCTGCAGGAGTTGTTCGAATCCTTAATCCAAATTTTTAAGAAAATAAAATTTTCTTTTTATCATCGAAATCGCTTGATGGATTCATGTAAATTTAATAATTGAATCTTAATATTTATTTTTCAGTACGAAAGCTTGTAGAGCATTCTGAAATTAAAGAGAAAAACCGAAACGTACAAAAAATGTTGTTTTGGGAGCAAACAACAAGCACTGATTAAGGAAAGGGTGCCCCAATTGAACTCCAATAGGGTGGGATGCCCCCTAAAAATGCCTTAGTTTTGTGACTCCCAATGCCCCAACCTCTTATTTATTTAATACGTTGAAGAAAATATGAGAGCAAAGTTTAAATAATTAAAATGTAGTGAGAAGGAACAGGTAAGCATGGTGTTCTAAGCCCTAAAAGGTATGCGCAACATATCAACATCAAAGATTAGAGACAACAGGGGCATGAATGTCTTGCTTTGTCATCTACTTGTTTGCATATTCTTTATACTTTATTCTAATCATATAAATACCTTCCTTCCCAAAGTGGATCCACCTTTGGGTTTAAACAACAATAAAATAAGGATTAAAATATTTTTAATTTTATAAGTAGAATTAATAATTAAATTAAAGAATATAAGATTAATTATAGGGATTCATTCATATATATACTTTTAGCTTTTATTGAATTAAAAGTTATATATTAATTGAATTTATTGAATGATCTTAATTATGAAAAATAATATTCTTTTTTAAAAGATTTAAGTTCAAACAATTACATATGTAATATATATATATATTATCAATAAACTAAAAAATAAACAAATATTATCTAAAAATCTCCTTAAATTATATTAAAAACTTACGCATTAATTAGTAATATTACAGCAAGGGGTTGCACTTGTCTTATTGTGATTGCAGGTTGTGAAAAAAGAAAAGGCATACATAAATGCAAAGGGTAGGAATTTGGTAGGAAAGTAAAATGGAGCGGCCATATGTTACCTTTTAACGGTTGGGGATTCTACCCGAAGTAGTGAGGTGTCGATTCAATTCGGTGGGAGAAGATGCGAGGGTCCCGCTTCAGGTGGACTTGGGGTTTACACTATCAACTTCATCTTTCACTTATTTACCCTTTGAGGTTATGGACTTTGAATATTTCTCACATTTAAATAGTTGCATTTTCGAAAAATTAGGGAGGGAAGACTACGGTGGTTTGGGCATGTCTTTAGGTGACTACCGTCGGATGCGGTCAGGAGGGTAGAGTCGATTACAGTCGATGGTGCCAGAAGGAGAGGACGATCAAGGCAGAAATGGGAAGACTGCTTGAGATCTGATTTGATGGATTTAGCCCTTACCAAGGACATCCTCTGATAGGAAAGTATGGAGCGAGTAGTGTGGGTCACATCTATAGGGTGTATCATATCTCTTTTTTTAATACCTTTGTAGTAATTTCCATGACTTCTACTTTTTATACGTTTCTGTTATTGATATTTATGAAGGCTTAGAATTGAGTTTGCTATCGTTGGCTTCTGTGTATCATTCTCTTCATGTTTTCTCTTTTAAATTTAGTCGGGTCTAATGTTACTGTCTATATACAGAGATTTTTTCGCAGGGTTTTATTTGAAGGGATTACTTCCCATTAAAGACGCGCATAGGATATTAATGACTACATATGAATATTGTTCAACTATGTATTTATGTATTTATTTATACATGCATTGCATTTTTATTTATATTTTTTATTTTCTGACTGCCGGAGGTCTTCCACAAAAGCTCTCTCAACCTGGCGTTGGGACAGCCTACTACCCTACCTCTCCCTTACCCCATTACATATGAAAATTGAGTTTTGTTGTTGTAATTGGTGGACGGCTGTAGAGACTGCTCCATCCCACTTTATTCTTATCCATAATTTTTTATTTTATCATCAATGATTAAATCGTAATATTAAATTATCTCATAATTTTCGTCAATTTCAAGATTTATATATTTCCTATTATAATAATTTTGCGACTCAATTTATATATAATACATTTACCCATAACAATTAAATAAATATAAAATTTTCAATTGACATCTCCCCTCACTCTTAGGTTATGGATTCAATATCCATTAGTTCCATCAACAGTTTTCTTACATGTTCTATTTAAAAATTATACGAAAAAGATGGACCAATCAAGAGGTTGGATTGGACCCCGAATAAGTTTCATATTAGGGTTTGTGGATTTGAACCACAACCAAAAGCTATACATATAACTAAACTAAATGAAATTCATGTGTAAATATTCTATATTGAAAATATGGGTTTATTATCAGTGAAATGATACGAAGATTTAGGAAAATATGAAGGAGAAGAAGATGGGGCATGAATATGGTTTATTTACTACTGTTAATCTCAACCATCCATTTTCACTCGTCTAATGTTCTTAAATCTGTGTAAAACTCTATTAGTTTTATATTATGTAACAAGATTTTATCTCAATTTAATTTAAATTGTAATTTTTTTCCTGAATAAATATACAATATAGGACAATATTTCCAAGTCAGAAAAATTATTATTATTTTTGTCTAAAAGACAATATCCGTCGATAGAACCGACTTTTTTTAAGGGTCGATAAAACAGCCCTACATGCAAAAAGAAAGAAAGATAGATTATTAAAAAAGTAATTAAAACACAAATGATATTTTAAATGATGATAAAATACACAAATGATCTTAATTATAGATCATTATTTTGATTTTGTTAAGTCATAATTATTAAAATTATAAAATTATCAACTTGATTATTTATATATTTCAAAATCGCCGTTTACCTTTAAAATATTAACTTCCTTTTGATTAGATGTTACCCTACTGACTGAGATATAATCAAATAATATCTTCATGGTGTATATTGGCATCGTCGTTACTTTGAAGTATTGACTCACCAATATAATGTTTCAAACACTAACTTGATAATATAATGTAAATAGATATTCGATTCACAAAATACAGCTAAAATGATTATGAGATCATATTTTATTATATCTCAATCAATAAATTAACACCCATCTCAGACGACTGCCAATTTTTTAACAGAAAATGATGAATTGAAACATAATGAATAGCAGGTAATCATTTAATAACTTTCAATAGTCGAAAAGCTCAACAAAATAATATTTTATAATCAAATAATCATTTTATAACTTGTAAAAGTAAAAAAACTTAACAAAACATCCTATAATAAGAGATTATTCGTCCTTTAAACAACGTGATTTGAATATAGTAGAATAAAATAAGCCAATAAATTATGAAAACAATATATAAATATTTGAAATACGTAAAAAGTTATATTTTATTTATGTTTACAGAACTGGTACAGAACACAAAACATATATACTGTTGCCAAAACCGTACTCTGGAACTAATACGTATCCATAATAAAATAAAAATCAATAATATAAATAAAAAAGGAGTTGGAGAGTTGTGTAATTTTACTAAAATTAAGGATATCGTTAATCTATCAACATGTCCATCGCCCTCCTCTAATCAACTCTTTACCTCTCAACCGTAAAAAACCAGTTGAGCATATTTACATCTCTATCCAATACAAATTCCGAAATACCATTCTATCACTTTCTTTTTCAGAGTAAAAAACATTTATTCATATCAAATTTCCTTACTACCGGACCCCATCGTCAACAACTACCTTCACACTACGGGAAGCCAATCTCCATGGCTTCGATTAC